ATATCAAAAAAGTACTCCAGAGTGTTGTTCAGCATGGGGGTGAGTAGAAAATGAAGGCTAATCATGTTTTGGGTGTACTATTCCTTTAAAAGGATGACCTGAATCACTGCTGTGGCTAAAATGGTGGCGCTGTGACGTCACAGCATGGAATTCTGAGAATGCTTTGGTTTCTCCACTTTCCCTGTAAGATGTCAAGCCGTTGTCATAGTACACGGGAAAGTTTTTTCATGTTGCCATAGCAGTGCAGTGCATTCCAGCGGACATCAGGATTTTTTCTGTGACTAATTTTAAACGCTTAGCTGTGGTTTTAAACATCCAAAATTAGCTAAGTGATTAAAAACACACATTTATGTGGTTTGATAAACTGAAAACACATATTTATTGTGACTTTACATGGACTTTAAGAGCTTTTACATGATCTTAGTTAAAATATCCCTTTATTGAGCTAAATGGACCAATCCTCACCTCTTTAATCTCTCCCAGAAGTTTGATGGCATGTTGGTATGATGGAGGATCCTCTTTCAGCTGATCCTCCAAACAGTCCCAGAAGGCTTGGTGCATGGTCTCCTTCACCCGGCGCTCCAAACTGTGGCAGAACAAAGAAGATTGTCCAATTTTCTTCAGCAGTTAAATTCTTAAACAGTTGGAGAACTGCAAGGCTTTTGAATCAAACCCTCACCTTCCTTCAGGAAGCTTTGTTGGCTTGAACTGCAAGTCCTGATTGACCATGATTTCATGAGCTAAAGCCATGTTGGTCATCCCTTTAGCAGTCTCCATCAGCTCCTCCACAGAAACAAACCTGGGTGGGCTGGCTGTGAGAACACAGCATAGATTTATTACATTACAAACCACAACATAAAAGACCTATAAATCCTGTTTATTGAGAACGAGGTGAAGCAGCAATCTGCAGAGACAACATCTCAGAATTGACAGGAATTTAGAGTTTAAAATCATGGTTTCATGTATGCACCGTCAAAGGTTTTATTTCCTCTAAAATTAAAATTAAAAGCAATTCAAAATAACACAACTAAAGACATTTCAAACATATCCGACTTCAAACAAACATTAACTTAATTGCCTCATAATATGTTTATTTTCAGTCCAACGCAGTGATTTGTTACTTTTCAATTACCACTAAGGTTTTAAATTAAGCTCGTTTCTCACATTAGAAGTACCTTTCCAAAAAAAAA